CATTTGATGAGCTTTCACGGATGCATAACTTAATGTAATCTGGACCCCTATGACAACACAGAACAATTACTCTCACCCTAGAAGTGTTTTGTGCCTTTTTCCAGTCATTTCCTGCTCCTAGTCCACCAGAGAAAATTACAGTTCTGATTTTGTTCAATATGCCTTAATTTCACCTGTCTTAGAACTTCATGTAAGTGGAATTACACAGTATACTCTCTGTCAGAAGATTAGCAGGTTGATTTTTTATATAGTTGTTGTTGACTTTGTCCCATTGTCTGCAAAAAAAGCAGGTTCATATAGACTGTGGAGTTCTTTCCCATTCCTTGCTTCCCACCACCCCATAAAAAATATGGGCGCATCCACTGAGAAATTTGGAGCTGGCCTCACTGAGTTTTCACATGCATGAAGTCTCTGCTTTTGGATTTATGATTGGTGCCACTCCCTCAGTTTGCATAGGTTGTAAGACACTCCTTTCTTAATCATCTCAAGTATCATAGAAATGACAAAATACCATGGACTGGGAGGTTCAAACAGCAGACATTTATTTCTTATGGTTCTAGAGTCTGGGAATTCCAAGATGAAGGTGCTGGCACCTTTGCTTCATTGTGAGGGTCCTCATCCTGGCCCACAGGCTGCCACCTTCTTGCTGTGTCCTCACATGGGCTCACCCCATGATCTCAACTAAACATGTTTATCTCCCAACAACTCTCCCTCCAAATGCCATCACATTGGAGGTTAAGGCATCAACATATGAATTTGGGGGATGCTAACATACAGTCCATATCAACTGCCTTCTCTCACCCCCATATCAATTGCCTGCTGATTTGTCTGTCAGTGAATTAAAATAAGAGGCTTCTTGTCTACCACTGACTTCTGAAAGTGGGAATGTTTAATATAATGGGAATATATGTTAGGATTTTATTTAACTCGTAAGTGAGGGTACTGGCAGAATGACAAAGCTGGTTCAGTGCAGGTATGAGAAGCTGGGATGTATGTGGGTAGGCCCGAAATAACATTACTGTAAGTTACCCTGTAACTTTACAGAATCAGCAAACTTAACTCTCATTATCTGAGTGACCAGAAAGATTAGAAATTATATAAATGATGTAGGAAAGCTCATATAATCATATATCTGATAGGTTTTGGAATATTTTTCCTGAATAATAAGCACATTGACAGTCATATGTACCAGCAGTATCTTCTATCAGTTTGCTATTTCTCTTTTCACTTTAATTTTTCCTTTCTTAATGTGAATATTCATTTTTATGTATTAAAAAAGAGAATTATTTTTCTCCATTTATATATAAATATTTCCCCTTTATAGATGGCTGCTATTAATGTTTATATTAGTTTTGGGGGGATTCTTGTTGATACATAATAATTGTACATTATTTATGGGTAGATGGGATATTTTCATACATGCATACCGTATGTAATGATCGAATCAGGATATCCATAACCTCAAATATTTATCATTTCTCTACATTGTCAATTTTTTTCTATTTTGAGATATAAATTACCGTTAACTATAGTCATCCTACTGTGCTATCAAATACTTATTTCTTCTAACTGTATTTTTTGTACCCACAATCAACCGCTCTTTGTTCTCCCTTCCCTCTCTTTTTCCTAGCCTCTGTTCCCACGTATGAGTGACAACATGCAATATTTGTCTTACTGTGCATGGGTTATTTCACCTAACATAGTGAACTCCAGTTCTAATGATATCGCTGTAAATGAAAGAATTTTATTTTACTTTATAGTTGACTAGCATTCTATTATGTATATGTACTACATTTTCTTTATCCATTCAACCATTGGTGGACATTTAGGTTAATTCCATTATCTAGGCTATTATGAATACTAACGTTAACATGGTGGTGCAGGTATCCTTTTGCCATACTGATTTCCTTTCCCTTGGATAATTATGAAGTAGTGGGATTACTGGATTGCATCATAGTTCTATTTGTAAGTTTGGTGGGTTTTTTTTTTCATTTTTGTTCCTTTTGCATTTGTGTTTTTTTATTATTATTATACTTTAAGTTCTGGGGTACATGTGAAAATGGGAGGAAATTTTGCAATCTACTCATCTGACAAAGGGCTAATATCCAGAATCTACTAAGAACTTAAATTTACAAGAAAAAAGCAACCCCATCAAAAACTGACCAAAGGATATAAACAGACAACACGTCTCAAAAGAAGACATTTATGCAGTCAACAAACATGAAAAAAAGTTCATCATCACTGGTCATTAGAGAAATGCAAATCAAAAGCACAATGAGATACTATCTTGCACCTGTTAGAATGGCGATCATTAAAAAGTTAGGAGACAGCAGATGCTGAAGATGATGTGGAAAAATAGGAATGTTTTTACACTGTTGGTGGGAGTATGAATTAGTTCAACCATTGTGGAAGACAGTGTGGTGATTCCTCGAAGATCTAGAAATAGAAATACCATTTGACCCAGCAATCCCATTATTAGGTATATACCCAAAGGATTATAAATCATTCTGTTATAAAGACATATGCACACCTATGTTTATTGCAGCACTGTTCTCAGTAGCAAAGACTTGGAACCAATCCAAATGCCCATCAATCATAGAGTGCATAAAGAAAATGTGGCACATATACACCATGGAATACTATGCAGCCATAAAAAAGGATGAGTTCCTGTCCTTTGCAGGGACATGGATAAAGCTAGAAACCATCATTCTCAGCAAACTAACACAAGAACAGAAAACCAAACCCCACACGTTCTCACCCGTATATGGGAATTGAACAATAAGAATACATGGACACAGGGAGGGGAACTATTTGTAGTTTTTTAAGGAACCTCCATACCATTTTCCCTAATGGCTAAACTAATTATATATCAATAGTGTATAATTATTGCCTTTTTTCTGCATCGTTGCCATTATTTGTTATTTTTTGTCTTTTTTATAATAGCCATCCTAATTGGGGTAAGAGGATCTCTCAATGTGATTTGCATTTCCCTGATGATTGGTGGCGATGAGCATTTTTTCATATACCTGTTGCCCATTTGTATGTCTTCTTTTGTGAAATGTCTATTCAGATCCTTTTCCCACTTTTTAGTTGGATTATTTTGTTGTTGTTGTGTTTGACTTCTTATATATTCTGTATACTAGTCCCTTGTAAGATGAATAGTTTGCAGATATTTCCTCCAATTCTACATGATGTATCTTCACTGTTGATACTTTCCTTTGCTGTGCAGAAGCTTTTTAGTTTAATGTAGTCTGGTGTGTATTTTTGCCTTTGTTGCCTGTGATTTTGAAGTCTTAGCCATAAAACATGGCTAGTCTAGGCCAGTGTCCTAAAGCAGTTCTCCTGTGTTTCTTCAAATTGTTTTATAATTTTGGAACTGATGTTTAAGTATTTAATCTACTTTTAGTTTATTTTTGTATATTATGAGAGACAAGCATCTAATTTCATTCTTATTCATTTTGGAATTCACTTTTTCTAACACCATTTAAAGATACTGTCCTTTCCCTAAGGTGTGTTTTTGGTGCCTTTGTCAAAAATCAGTTGGCTTTAAATACATGGATTTATTTCTAGGTTATCTGTTCTCTTCTATTGGTGTATGTGTATTTCCTTCTTCTTTTTGTTTTTATGGACAGGGTCTTGCTCTGTCCACCTGGGCAGGAGTGCAGTGGTGCCATCATAGTTTACTGCAGCCTCTAACTCCTTGGCTCAAGTGATCCTCCTGTCTCAAATTCCAAGTAGCTGGGACTATAGGCATGTGCCACATGCCCAGGTAATTTGTTTAAATCTTTTGTAATGATGGGGTCTTGCTGTGTGGCCCAAGCTTGACTCAAACTCCTAGCCTCAAGCAATCCACCTTCTTCAGTCTCTCAGAGCACTGGGATTACAGGTGTGAGCCACTGTGCCTGGCCAGTGTCTGTTTTTAAATCAATACTGTAACCGGGGGACAGGAGCAGGTTGCAGGGGTGTCCCAAAGATGCTCATTGTTCCGCGATTGGATGTGTTTTTTTCCAGGTCCTTGGGCTCTCACTTACCCAAGAATGGGGAGGAGACCCTGGCGGTGCAGTGATGTTGTTCAAGTAAATATCAGACCCAAAGAGTTTGGCAGAAAGTGATTTATTAAGCAGAGAGAGAGAGAAAGACAAATAGAGAAAGAAAGAGATCCCACACTGTTGTGTGAGGGGATCCAGAGATGGAGTCTGCACAAGTGCAGTGGCTCATGCCTAAAATCTCAGCACGTTAGGAGGGCAAGGTGATCAGATTGCCTGAGCTCAAGAATTCGAGACCAGCCTGGACAACATCATGAAAACCCATCTCTACAAAAAACACAAAACTCAGCCAGGCAATGGCAACTGTGGCTTAACTACAGGCAGGCACCTGTAGTACAGCTATTCAGGAAGCTGAGGTGGGAGGATCATTTAAGCCTGGGAGGTCAAGGCTGCAGTGAGCCATGATCACGCCACTGCACTCCAGCCTGAGCAACAGAGTAAGACCCTGTCTCAAAAAAATAAAAATTTTTATTCTAGTCAGATTTTGAATTGTATCAAATCTTTTTCTGTATCTGTTGAGATGATCGTATATCTTTTGCTCCTTCACTGTGTTGATATGATGTATCACAAGTATTGATCTGTGTATGTTGAATCATCATTGCATACCCAGGATAAATCTCACTTGATTGTGGTGTATTGTCTTTTCTGTATTGTTGGATTTGGTTTGCTAGTATTTTGTTGAGGATTTTTCCATTAATGGTCATCAGGGATATTGGCTAGTAGTTCTCTGTTTTTGTCCTTGTCTGGTTTTGGTATCAGGATAATGCTAGCCTTGTAGAAAGAGTTAGAAAGAATTCCACCCCCTCTCAATTTTTTGGAAGTTTGAGAAGAACTGGTGTTTGTTGTTCTTAAGAGTTTGCTAGGAGCAAGCAGTAAAGCAATTTGGTCCTAGGCTTTTCTTTGATTGAAGACTTTTCATTACTGATTCTGTCTCATTATTGGTATCTTCTCCAGGAATATATGCAGAATGTGTCCTGCCACCCAAGAATCTTGGACTTGCACATCAGAGGCAACACCAACTACAATTTTCTGATCAAAGCTGCCAGAGCGACACAGCTGAAGGTCAAAAGAAAGAAAAAGGCTCTAAGCCCATGGTATTTTCCAGCCCACCCCTAAAACATACAGTAAGCTCAAGGAGGAGGAACAGTGTAATGGAAATAGAGTCTAGTCAAGGCCAGAGGGAAAATCCTACAGAAATAGACAAAGTATTGAAAGGAATAGAAAATTCAAGATGGGGAGCATTCAAATGTGCAGAGGCTGGGCAAGACTTCAGCCAGAAGATAATAGTAATCATACACAAAAAAGCACATTCCAGGCAGAAGCTTTTTACATGCAGGGAGTGTCACCATGGCTTTAGAGATGAGTCAGCATTTCTCTTGCACCAGAAGACACACACGGGAGAGAAGTCCTATTTGTGCAGTGAGTGTGGACGAGGCTTCAGCCTCAAGGCAAATCTCCTCAGACACCAGAGGACACACTCAGGAGAGAAGCCTTTTCTGTGCAAGGTGTGTGGACGAGGCTATACTAGTAAGTCATACCTCACTGTGCATGAGAGAACACACACAGGAGAGAAGCCTTATGGATGCCAGGAGTGTGGGCGACGGTTTAATGATAAGTCCTCATACAACAAGCACTTGAAGGCACATTCAGGGGAGAAGCCTTTTGTGTGCAAGGAGTGTGGGCGAGGCTATACCAACAAGTCATACTTCGTTGTGCACAAGAGGATACACTCAGGAGAGAAGCCTTACAGATGCCAGGAGTGTGGCCGAGGCTTTAGCAATAAGTCACACCTCATCACACACCAGAGGACACACTCAGGGGAGAAGCCCTTCGCGTGCAGGCAGTGTGAGCAAAGTTTTAGTGTGAAAGGAAGTCTCCTCAGACACCAGAGAACACACTCAGGGGAGAAGCCTTTTGTGTGCAAGGATTGTGGGCGAAGCTTTAGCCAAAAGTCAACTCTCGTCTACCACCAGAGAACACATTCAGGGGAGAAACCTTTTGTTTGTAGAGAATGTGGGCAAGGATTTATTCAGAAGTCAACTCTTGTGAAACATCAGATTACACACTCAGAGGAGAAACCTTTTGTGTGCAAGGACTGTGGGCGAGGCTTTATCCAAAAGTCAACCTTCACTTTACACCAGAGGACACACTCAGAGGAGAAGCCTTATGGATGTCGGGAGTGTGGGCGAAGGTTTCGAGATAAGTCCTCCTATAACAAGCACCTGAGGGCACACTTGGGTGAGAAACGTTTCTTCTGCAGGGATTGTGGGCGAGGCTTTACTTTGAAGCCAAATCTCACCATACATCAGAGGACACACTCAGGAGAGAAGCCCTTCATGTGCAAGCAGTGTGAGAAAAGCTTTAGTTTGAAGGCAAATCTTCTTAGACATCAGTGGACACACTCCGGGGAAAGGCCATTTAATTGTAAGGATTGCGGGCGAGGCTTCATCCTAAAATCAACTCTTCTCTTCCACCAGAAGACGCACTCGGGGGAGAAGCCATTCATCTGCAGTGAATGTGGGCAAGGATTTATCTGGAAGTCAAACCTTGTGAAACACCAGCTTGCACATTCTGGCAAACAGCCTTTTGTATGCAAGGAGTGTGGGCGAGGCTTCAACTGGAAGGGAAACCTCCTCACACACCAGAGGACTCACTCAGGGGAGAAGCCCTTCATGTGTAATGTGTGTGGGCAAGGCTTCAGCTGGAAGAGGAGTCTCACCAGACATCATTGGCGGATACACTCTAAGGAGAAGCCTTTTGTGTGCAAGGAGTGTAAGCGAGGCTATACCAGTAAGTCAGACCTCACTGTGCATGAGAGGATACACACAGGAGAGAGGCCTTATGAATGCCAAGAGTGTGGACGGAAGTTTAGCAATAAGTCATACTACAGTAAGCACTTGAAGAGACACTTACGTGAGAAGCGTTTTTGTACAGGGAGTGTGGGTGAGGCTTCATCTTGAAGGCTTCATATCTCACCAGCCAGTGAGGCCACATTCAGGAGAGTAACATTACTTTGTTACATGATTTAGTCATGGCTGCATAACTTGTTCCTGAAGATAAAACAAAGGCAGGCATAATCTAGAAGGCTACAGATAACCTGAACTCAACCCACATGTCCCCAAGAGATTCGGAGAAAAGAGGTCCATGTTTGGGGAACAGAGATGCCAGCTGAGGAGAGGGCATTACCTGCGCTACTGAGGAAGTGTGGTCTCTTTCCTACTGAGCACATATTATTGTATTTGTGCCAGGCTTTCCAAGGACTGCTCTTAGCCAGTGACTGCAGAGCAGGGATACGAAGGGAGGCCTATTACTGACACCCTCCCCAACCTCCTTAGACTGCAAGCAGTCTAAGCCTCCACCAAACCTCCTCTTGTACTTTCCTTCCCTCTGGCTGTTCTCCCATACTTCCTTGACACTATGGTTTGAATGTTTTTGTCCCCTCCTTAATTTATGGTGAAACTCTACATAAACTGTTTACTATTGAAACAGTGTTACAGTATTAGGAGGTGGGGCCTTTGGGAAGTGATTAAGTCAAGTCATGAAGAGAGCTTTTGTGAATGGGATCAGGTGCTCTTATGAAAAGCCTTGGTAGAGGGAATTTGTCCCTGTGGCCCTTCTATTTTCTGCTCTGTGAGGACACAATGCGCCTCCCCTCCAGAAGATGCAGCGTGAAGGCATCATCTTGGAAACAAACATAATCCCTCAACAGACAACTGAACCTACCGATATGATGTTGAACTTCCCAGCCTCCCGAACTCTGGGAAAATAAAGTTCTCTTTATACATTTCCTAGTAAGTGGTATTTTGTTTTAGCAGCTCACATAGACTAAGTAACTTATGATGTCTCCTCATCATTCTCTCACATACAATCTCTACATGGAGTCTCATGTTGGTCTTTGCAGAGAACTCCCTTCAACACAACTGACACCAAGAACAGTCTGACAAAACAGGTGGTAAAATAGGGATCTGGGGACCACTCACCTGCCTGGCAGGAATAGAGCAGGTTGGCTGGTGGGGCACAGGTAGGTGGTTAGCTGCAAAAATTTCACAGGTGATTTCCTGAGAAAATGCCTCGATAGGGAATGCTGTGGAAGGTGTGATGATGCAGGCCTTTGAAAATGTAGGGGAAATGCCTACAAAGAGCAGAATAGACTGATTATTGCTGATCTGCACTACTACCTGCAGAAGGACCCTGAGAAACTGAAGACTTCATTCAGCCATTAGCATACAGTTAATGGCTAAGTAAACCAGGACTCCTCGGTGAGTGCTTACAAGGCCTTTATCTTCTGGGATAGAAGGCAGAATCATTGCCCAAATATGTGGGCTGAAGGCCTTGAAATGAGAGTTGCAGAGCTCTACAAGGATGTTGGAATGCTCAGCCAATGCATGTCTATTTTCTAGATGTCAGACCTTTTGTGAGGAAAATTTGGGATCCTGAAAAATGACAGGAGCATCTTCATGGATGCCCAAGGATTGCCTCTGCCATGCTCGCAGCCACAGATCATCTGGGTGTGCAGAGGTGGCCCATCCTTCCTTATTAATAGCATTTCCACCATTCACTACCACAGAACCTTCACAGTTAAGGCCAGCTTAATGAGCATGTGCCCTAAGTAGCTATACACAACCCTTTGTCCAGAGCAGGGGGGATAACACATGATATGCCTATCATTTTGTAAATGGTATTTTTGATGCTTGCCCTTCAACTTCCATAACTTCCCTCATACTCATTCTGAGTTTCACTGCACATTGTGGGTTCACTGGAATTCTGTGCTCCTCTTCCATAGTAAACATATTTATGTGTGAGTAATTACGGACTTTGACAGCCCCAAGAGATACCACTGTTCATTCGGACCTAAATTAATTTGAACTCAGAAAGAAGACAACATCCTAAGCATAAACAGCCAAGGAGCCCTATCAATGCATTTCCTGCTCAAGTTCCTCATATTAGCCAACCACTTGTGTTGAAAATGATCACACAGAAGGGATTGGAAACATAAGGCAACTTATAACTACTTTTTCTCTGTTTCTTACTTAACCTGAAGTTAAAGTGCACTGGTAGAATGTGCATATGGAGAAGTGAGGTAAAACAGTTGAATTAGAGACCAGACACAGTGGTTTATGCCTATAATCACAACACTTTTGGATGTCAAGGTGGATGGATCACTTGAACACATGAGTTCAAGACCAGCCTGGCCGACGTGGCAAAATCCTGTGTCTACAACAAATTAGCTAGGTGTGGTGGGACATGCCTGTAGTCTGAGCTACTTGGGAGGCTGAGAAGGGAGGATCATCTGGAGCCTGGGAAGCTGAGGCTGCAGTGAGCTGTGATCATGCCACTGCACTCAAGCCTGGGCAACAGAGTGAGACCTTGTATAAAAACAAAAAAGGTTGAATTAGTTTCTGCAACATTTCTAAAGTTCTAAAAAAAATCCTAATAGGAGCAACAGAGTTGAAATTACATCATTTCACTAGTTGTGCTGATTTAAATGGGCAATGCACAATATAATGATGGACAAGAGAGGTGCGTGCGTGTGTGTGTGTGTGTGTGTGTGTGTGTGTGTATACATACATATAGAGAGAGAGAGAGGGAGGGAGAGAGGGAGGGAGAGATGGAGTCTCACTCTGTCACTCAGGCTGGACTGCAGTGGTGCAATCTCAGCTCACTGCAACCTTTGCCTCCCGGGTTCAAGTAATTCTCCTGCCTCAGCCGCCCAAGTAGCTGGGACTACAGGTGTGCACTACCACTCCCAGCTATGTTTTGTATTTTTAGTATAGATTAGGTTTCACCATATTGGCCAGACCAGTCTCGAAACTCCTGACCACCTGATCTACCTGCCTCAACCTCCCAAAGTGCTGGGATTACAAGTGTGAGCTACAGCACCCAGCCTTATATATATTATTTAAAACACCTAAGCAAGAGGAAAGGACCACAGAAGAAAAGAAACTTTATTTTATGGCATGTTTTCCTCTACCTTTTGAACAAAGACCCCCATATTTTCGTTTTGTACTATACCTGCAAATTATGTAGCTGACCCTGTTCACAAGGGAATAGGTGCTGCTCACCTAGGAGCTGGCCCAACCTCCTCTCCCAGCTACCAGGCCAGTAATTATGGTTATACCTAAGTATAACCCCATGCGCAAGAGTTGGTCTAGATAAAGAAGGAAATACCTAAAGAATTGCCAAGAACTACCTAGCATGTATCAGCAGAAAGTTGAGTCTCTAATATGGCATTATTCCTCAAGAAAATAAACTCCTTGCTTGGGGACAAATTGACTACATCAGCTCCTTCCAGCCTCTAAAAAACAGTGGTTCAACCTCACAGGGATAAATACCTATTCCAAACATGGATTTGCCTTCCTAGTCCTATAAGGCTCAGTCAGCACTATTATTCATGCGTGATCCAAGGACATGAAATACCAGGTAATATAACATCCAACCCAGGAGATTCACTTCATAGCAAAAATGCTACCAGAGTGTAAGAGTAGATAACAACTGTAAATATATATATATATACACCCCTAACAACAGAGCACTGAGAGACATAAAGCAAATAGTATTCACTATAAAAAGAAAGATTCCAATGCAATAATCATTGAGGACTTCGACATTCCACTGTCAGCATTGGACAGATCATCCAAATAGAAAATCAACAAACATTAGATTTAAACTGCACTTTATACCAAATAGACCTAACAGACATTTTCAGAATCTTTATTCCAACAGCTGTAAAACACACATTCTTCTCATTAGCACATGCAGCATTCTCCAAAGCAGACCAAATATTAGGCCATGAAACAAGTCTCAACATTATTTTTTTAGACATGGTCTTGCTCTATCATCCAGGCAGGAGTGCAGTGCTGTAATCATAGCTCACTGCAGCCTTAAATTACACTCAAATGATCCCCTCTTCAGCTTCCCAAGTAGGTAGGACTATAGGTGCACACCACAATGCCTAGCTAATTTTCACTATGTGAGACAATGTCTCACTATGTTGCCCAGTCTGGTCTCAAAACTCCTGGCCTCAAGCGATCCTCCCACTTGAGAATCCTCAGCTTCTGAAAGCACTATGATTATAGGAGTGAGCCACCAAGCCTGGCCTCAACAAATTTTAAAAAATTGAAATCACATCTAGTATCTTCTCAAACAACAATGGAATAAAACTAGAAATCAATAACGAGGAACTTTAGAAACTGTACAGTATGTGGAAATTAAACAACATATTCCTGAATGATGGTCAATGAAGAAATTAAGAAACTAAAAACATTTCTTCAAGTAAAAAATATTGGAAATTCACATCTTAAAACCTATGGGATACAACAAAAGCATTGCCATAAGGGAGGTTTATAACAATAAATACCTAGATTAAAAAGCAGAAAGACTTCAAATAAGCTAATGAGACACCTCAAGGAAAGAAAAATCAAACCCCTAATTAGTAAAACGAAGACATAATAAAAATCAGAGCAGGATAAAACAAAATAGAGACAAAATCTGCAAGAAAACAATGACAGGAAAAGCTTTTTTAAAAAAAAAGATAAAGAAAATCAGTAAACCACTAGCTAGACTAGCCAAGAATAAAAAGGAGAAGACTCAAATAAATAGAAATGAAAAAGAAAACATTACAACTGATTCCACAAAAATGCAAAGGATCACTAGAGATTATTATGAACAACTACACACTAACAAAGTGGAAAACCTAGAGGAAATTAATAAATTCCTATATGAATTTTACATAATAAGACTGAATCATGAAATATAGGACATGCCAGATACAGTGGCTTCACTAGATGGTATGTTCTCTTGGCAGCTACCAGGGCCCTCACCATCCCCACTGGAGTTCTGGAGCCAGGCTTCGCTTCTTCAAGCACCACTAGATGCTCTGAGACTTTCTATATGTATATTATTGCACTATAGGTTCTGGGACACATGTGTAGATCATGCAGGATTGTTGCTTAGGTACATACATGGCAATGCGGTTTGCTGCCAGTATCCCCTTGTCATCTATATCTGGCATTTCTCCCCACGTTATCCCTCCCCAAACTCCTTATCCTCTGCTGTCCCTCCCCTATTCCCCCCACAACAGACCCCAGTGTGTGATGCTTCCCTCCCTGTATCTATGTGTTTTCATTGTTCAACACCCACCTATGAATGAGAACATGCGGTGTTTGATTTTCCGTTCTTCTGTCGCTGCTGAGAATGATGGTTTCCAGATTCATCCATGTCCCTACAAAGGGCACAAACTAATCTTTTTTTATGACTGCATAGTATTCCATGGTGTACATGTGCCATATTTTCCTTGTTCAGTCTATCATCGATGGGCATTTGGGTTGGTTCCAGGTCTTTGTTATTGTAAACAGTGCTGCAATGAACATTCGTGTGCATGTGTCTTTATAATGGAACAATTTAAAATCCTTTGGGATTTTAAAATCCCAGTAATGGGATTGCTGGGTCAAATGGACTTTCTATTTCTAGGTCCTTGAGGAATCACCACACTGTCTTCCACAATGGTTGAACTAATTTACACTCCCACTAACAGTGTGAAAGTGTTCCTATTTCTCCACATCCTCTCCAGCATCTGTTGTCTCCAGAATTTTTAATGATTGCCATTCTAACTGGCGTGAAATGGTATCTCAATATGGTTTTGATTTGCATTTCTCTAATGACCAGTGATGATGAGTATTTTTTATATGTTTGTTGGCCTCATATATGTCTTCTTTTGAAATGTGTCTGTTCATATCCTTCGCCCACTTTTGAACGGGTTTGTTTTTTTCTTGTAAATCTGTTTTA